AAAATTTTATAATTGGGGAATGTTTTTCATTTTATTTTTTTAACCTTTCCATTTAATTCTTCTACGGCGATTTATATAGTGATTTTTTTTCAATATCTCAAGAATAAATAAATGATTTCCTTTTATACCCACTCAAAACTTTAATTTCTCATAAATTCTTGGCTGATTGGTTTTGTTCCGAATACCTCTAAAAGTGCAAAACAGAGCCTTCTCAGGGCTTCAGAAGCGCTCTAATACGGAAATTAAAATACAAAACTTTCATTGAAATCAGTCATTCAAAATTATGAAATACGAGTAAAAATTTACAAAAAAGGAAAAAATTGACAGACTGAGATTTTGTTTAAAATAGTTAAGCGTTTAATCTGGAAACGTACATTCTTAATTAGATATTAATTATTGAACGTCAACGTTTGGGTAAAAGTTGAAACATTTTTAACTCGCACAAAAATTATTCTTGATTTTACTTTTTACTCGTAGTTACCCAAATTTTATAATATATTTTGTTATAAGCTTAATAAACACGAGCTGAAAACTGAATAAAATTGATGAAACATTTGACTCGCCGTTAGAGAACTCTTAATATTGCATTGTTGCAATTGCTGGAGCTACAGTGTATACGCTAATATTAATTATTGAAGATTAATATTAATTATTGTTTCAAAAATTACAACTGTTATTACAATTCAATGAAGAAAATACGAAACAACTATTTCTGATAATTTAATAAAAAATTCTAAGAATTGAATCTACTACATCACATATAATATAATACACAGTTTCCATTTCTATAAGGCAGAAAAGGTGACTTTTATAAATATATAAGCTATAAAATCTATTTCTTTTTTTTTTAATTTCTTCAGTTTATTTCAATTTTATTTGGAAATTTGATTGTCTTCACATTTAATATAATTGCTTTAAATTGCATAAAATGCATTCTTTGTTCCTGTTAAAGAAAATAATTTTTGTAAGGACTCATATAAGAGAAGTTTCATGCAGAAATCCCTTAGATATTAAAAAGTTTTTCTAATATATTTTGGCAAAATGGAAAAAAAAAATTGTATAAAAAAGTAAAATACGAATTTAAAACTAATACTTAAAGTTTTCAATAAAATTTTACAAATTAGAAAATTTAAAGTTTTTTTTTTTCTTTCTATACAAAAGAAATAAAAAGCTATGTAGAAAGTCTGAATGAACATTTGTTAACTTTCTCTAAAATTAAAATCTACAATAATATCCTTGCCATGTAAATACATACGTATGTGTATACCAATGACATACAGGGTGGTCCTAACCTTGTGTTAAAGCTCTGTGACTTTTTAAGGAAAAAAAATTATTTCGAATGGAGGAAAAAGAGTTCTGTACGTCTAAAATATTTTTGGATGAATAGAAAAAATCAAATTGAAAAAATTCTGTCCGATGAACATCCATAAAAGCATCGAAGCTGTTTTTAGTTAGAGCAAAATGCTAGGAACTTTTTTCACAAACACATGTAAATAGCGGTTAGAGTGGACATCCCTTTATTTCTTTATCACCAGCTCCGGAACACCTTATGGAAAAACATAAAGAATTTTCTATTACTTCTTAATTTAAAAATTTACCTTTTACATAACACTTCATGTATACGTGATTATAATGTACATTTGTATAATGTATTATATATATCTATGTATATATTTATATAAGTAATTGTAAGTCAGGTATATTGCACAATAATAGCATTTTATATCGTCACTTTATTTTACCACAAGGTGTATTTAAATGTTTCTTTATTGTAGCTAATAAAGTAAAAGTTATTCTTTCTCTTTCTTTTTGTTACTATCCCTTCTTTTTTTCTTTCTTTGTATTTTTCTTCTTTTTTTTTTCAAATACCGGATAACTATGAAAACGGATAATAGAGTATAACAAGTTGTGTATAACAAAAATATAAAACTATGACTTTAGTTAGAGAAAAAGAAATGATTTGATGTTATTGTTATATTTATAAATATTTATTTATCCACACATATTTACGTACATATGAAAACACATGCATATATGTGTATATATGTATATACATTCATGTTTTCTTATATAAAAGTGTAGGTAATGAAATTGTATAAACCGTTTTATTCAATTATGAAGCCAAAAGAATCCCTAAATTGTACTAAAAATTTAAAGTGCTATTTTCTACAAACTAACCCTAAGGAGAGTTATTAGAATTTCACATTTTCTTAATAGTATATACATATGTATATGAATGGTTGAAAAGGCTAAGACTTTTAGAACAAAAATTCAACTTGTTTCAATTTTTTTTTCTGCTATTTATTTTTTTTTCATTTTGCTTGTGTACATTTAAATAACAGTTATAATAACTATATCATATATTAAGTGTTGCCGTTTTCAAAAAAAAAAAAAAAATGAAGTATTTTATTGTCAAGATGGTACAAATTTGATTTTAAATATAGGCATATGTTTTTTATTGAAATAACATTGGAGGCATTTGAATACCAACGCATTAAAAACGCAGTTTTTCTAAAAAAAATTTATGAAACAAAGTGACAATATAACACTTCTGGTATGGTAATTAAGATTAAATTGGACTACCAACATAAATGTTTTGTATAGCTCTTTACATGCAAGTAATTACTTGTATTATATTTGCTACACAATATCTACGTTCGGAGTAGTCCAATGAAAGTTTACACAAAAATGTAACCAAACCTTAACCTGTTGTGTGTCAAATATGATATAATTTTGAGCGTGTGTACATACATATATATCTAGTTCGACTAATGTGTAATCCTATTCCATTCCATTTTATTTGAAACTCTTTCTAATAAGTCATAACAGTTTTAAAAATAACATTATCTATATACAAACCATTAAAAATTTGAACATAATTTGAAGATTTGAAAAATATTTTTAGCGAATTTCTAAAAAATTTGTTAAATCTTTATTGATAATAAAAAAAAATGGTAAGTCTGATTACATTAGCCTTATTATAATAATATAAAATGTATCTAGTGTATAAACACCCACAAATACATGAAAAGATAATGGAGACGGCGACGGATTTCCTAAAGAGAAAATTAAACATAACTGTAAAGAAGAAGAACGAGGTATTTGAAGAAGTATTATTATTACATTTAAATTTAATCCTTGGCTACAATATTAAAATTTTACTTAACGTGGTATATTATAAGTATACTGTATGTATATATTATGTTACTATGTTAGTATGTATGTATATATAATGTTCGTAAATATTTACCCAATTTAGGATTTTAACAGAAATACCTTAATTTTCTCGACGCATTAATTTTTAAAATTTCTCTAGTTTTCTTTTGTTTGTTCTTATTTTGTAATGTTTTTATATTCATATACATTTTATGTATTCTGTTTATTTTGAATATACAAGAATCTATTTTATTAAAGAATAATAAAGAAGAATCAGAGTTAAGCAACATTTTGTTGATAACGAACATTTTATCAAAGTTTTTACTCTATAACGAATTGTGATGAACTAGCTTGCAAAACTCATTGTTGTTAAAATATTGTTTGTCTATAACCATTTGTAAAATATAATTTTTTAGCAACACATATAATTTTTTAGGAACACATGGAGGAGTTGTTATATAAAGGCTCTGGCAGAAATGCAAGTAGTTTAGTTTTGCAATTACAGTTTCATGGCAAATTAATCGCGCGCACACTAAATTGTAAATCAGTTTGTAAAAAATTTCAATCGTTTGATTACTCAATTGCATGCGACCATACAATTGCATGTGTGCACGCTTGAATATACACCTAAGAACACAAATAAGCAATCAAACAGTTGTAAAACTAAAAATTGCATGTATGCCAGAACCCTAAATAATTACAATAAAAATTTTCAGATTATGAAAATGTTTTTTTCATTTCAAAGTGTTATTCATAAGAAAATATTATGAAACAACTACCCAACTTCCGAATATTATAATTAAAAAATATACTTATATTTAAAACAATTAATAATGTTTATTTCAAAATTTAATATCCGCAGTTATGTAAAAAGATTCCCAAAGTCTGATTATACCAAAAGAAAACTCATTTGGACGTTTATATACCGACTCAGAAAAAAACTAATATAAAGCATTATTTTTACACAAGTCTGTTTGCTCGTTTTTTTTTCTCCTCTTTCATTTAAAATCTTTTTTATAGTATTGGCTAAACTTAAATGGTCAAATAAAATCTTATAGATGGTGTTAGACTAATATAACAGTCTAAAAGTTTCTGATTTTACACAACAGCATTAATACCTAGCTATATACATTTGCTTTAGTTAAAGAATGAGATCTATGTATTATTAAACGACAGGTTTGCTTATGTTTATTTTATTCAATGTTAAAAAAAATAATAAAAATTGCAAACAAAAAAGAGATACATGTTTCCATTTCCAAAAATTATCGTTTAATAAGCAATTTTAGTTTTGACTCTATGGATAAACTTTAAAAATTATCTTATTACTATCCGTATGTATGTAAATTTTAATTATTACAGTTTCAAAAAACTTTTCTTAATAAAACTGAAATTAAATTTGCTTATTATTTAATTTTGTTAAACTAAATTGCAAATTCTTACAAAAACAAAATATCAGGACAGTATACTATTAGGAATAGAATAAAAATTGCAGATTTTTTGTTAAAATAGTTTTAAGAGAAACTTCGTTGCATTAAAATTATTAAAGAGTGACCGAGAATATGTAGTTGAAAACGGAAAACGGAAAAACACTTTTGACTTTCTAGAACTACCATTTTATGTCTAAATAAAAAGTTTTTTAGAATTGCTCTTAATATTGATTTCTATCTTGACGGCTCATTTGTCCGTTTCCAGGTTTATTAACAATTTTGTAGTTAAATTTGTAGAACTTCTCAAAATCATGAAAAATTCTAAAATAATTTCTGCAGGGAAACATCACATCTCTTTAAAACCAAGAGTTTTAATTTACAAGTTTAATATTATTAAGAAGGAGATGCAAACAGCAGTTTGACATTTAATAAAATTTATTAAAACACAAAGAGCAAAAAAAAAATTTGCAACACCAAAACAAAATTAATTTAATAATTTTTAGTTTTGTTTTTTCCCCTTCTTTTCTTTCCTCCTTAACTATCACATTCTTGTCAAAACTTCATAACTTGATAATCTAATTTCTTGACCACCATATGGAATGTATAAGCATTGATGTGATGGATGAATTTTTCCTGGTGTTAAGCTACCACAATGATGACCACGGCCAATATATAATTGTTCACCATTTGATGTACGTCCACCTTCAACGGAATTTGGTGGAACATGACCATTACTTGCTGGTAACCATCTATAACTTGTACCACATAATATTTCAAATTGATGTTTTACATGTTCATTTCCGCCATGACAAACATATGCACAATTTTTATTGAAAATTACTTTTGCTGGTAATAGATCACCATCATGATATGCACGACCAACATATATTTGATCACCATCTGAATCATGTCCAGCATGTATTGCATTTGCTGGTAACATACTACCAGATGATGGCATCCATGTAAGAGCTGGAGCACGTATAAGAACTTCATAGCTATCTAAACGAACTTCTTGGCCACCATACGGTATATATAAACAACGATGTGATGGATGTATTTTACCCGGTGTTAAACTTCCTTGCCAGTGTCCTCTACCAACATATAACATTTCACCAGATGTTGTAGCACCAGCTGAAACAGCACCTGGTGGAACAGTACCAGCAAAACCTGGCTGCCAAGAATATCCAATTCCACATAATACATCATAAGTGTGAACTGGGATCTCTTGACCACCCCAACAAACGTAAGCAGTATTCTTACGAGGAATTACTAAAATATTATATTATAAATTAAATACTTTTTTTTTAATATTTAATTGAAAAATGATTAATTGACCACAATTTTTTGTCTAAAAAATTTTGCACAAACAAAATTAAAAGAAAAGATTTGTTCATTCACCTTTAGCTGGTAACCAATCGCCATTATAATTAGACCGTCCTACATAGATTGTGTCACCATCACTATCATGTCCTGCGTGTACAGAATGTGGTGGAATATCGCTATATGGTGATTTTGGCTGCCATACATGTTGATCTAAAAAATATTAAAATTAAAGTTTGATATCATTATCAAAAAATTCAAATTTTAAATAAAATTGCAAATTTTAGTTCGATAATGACATGAGATTTTTTTATATTACTATCAAATTATAAAAATTTACTATCACATTAAGTAACAATTTAAATGAAATCAATCTAAATTTGGATATTTTTTTTACCTCAATATTTTGATAATCTTATCAATATATTAAATTCTAAGTAATAATAATTATCAAAGGTATAAAATGAAAAACATGTTAGTCAGACATTTTATTAACTTAAGTATATTGAACAGCTTGACAAATATTTGATAAAGCTAAATATATTTGTAATATATTATGTTTGTATATATGTATGCGTATAAGTAAAATATTTAATCTACTGATTTTATTGTCAATTCAAAAAACAGATCTTAAAGAGATCAAAAATTCACTGAACTTTTTTAGATTTTGTGCACCTACATAATTGTTGATATATATAAGTATGTATTTTTGCAAATAAATTGTAATATATGTATGTATGTATGTTTAGAAATTTTAAATTCCAAACATTTTTAAATTTTAAATATTTTAATAATTATGGTCGAAATTTTCAAAATTTTCACTTAGTTTCAAATAGTTACTCATTTTGCTTTTCGTCTCTACGGTGTTTCGATTCATTATTAGACACAGAAAATCTTACCGTTACCACATGATCCAAAACCGGGAACAAAACCGTATCCTTGGGTTATAAACTCTTTGTGCATCATTTTGAATTTTTACTCTTTTTTGTTTTTCTTTTATCTTGATTTTTTTATTAAATTATATAAAAATTCTAAAATATTTTTTGGATTTAAGAAAAATTAAATGGAAAAAAAATACTTTTTTATACGTGAAAGTTAATCGTGCAACTGAAATATGAATTAAAACTATGTTTTTAACGAATATTCTAAATAATTTAAAGGTGTGATAAGGTCACAAAAAATTATTAATACTTACACTTATGTAGAAGTTATCATAATATCGATAACGTTTATATATACGTTACGCTATCGCCTTTTACTAAAATATTATATAAGTATGGTACTCCGTTTATTTTAGTCATATATTTTAATCATATCTTACTCATATAATGACATGACAGTACAAATATATGTATGTGGGTAGGTGCATAGTATACGAACACTACGTATACAGAAATATGTGTACATACATTATTATGTATTATAATTTACAATTCAAACAGAAATTTTAATGAAAAATATGAAAATTTTACAAAAAAAAAAAAACATATAACAAGAACGAAAAACCGAAATTAAATTGAGTCATTCTTTTCTTTTTAAATTGACATAATTTAAAGCACATTGACTGATATTCTTAATTACAATATTGTAAAAACAAAAGTATAATTCTAGACGAAAATAATTTAAACTGAAAATATTATTAAGTCAAAGACCTCACAACCAATTGATTAAATTTTAAAAATTATGAGTACGTCTACATTTATCTGCTTTAGTTACAAATATAAGCTAGCCGAGCAGATATAACGATAATCCTGTATAGGTACATGCTTGTTTTAAAAATTCAATAATAATAAATTTAAAATAATTTCAATTATTTGTCATAACATTTATAAATGTTTTTATCTACCGTTTTCATTTTTATAAATTAGAAAAATGTTTAAAATAGAGTTAAAAACCGAGTATTTTATTTTGATTAGGGATTGTGCGCCTTCACAAAAGCTTTATATTTAATAACTGAAACAAAAAATCTCTGAATTCTTCTAATTCTTTCTAGTGTAAAAATAATAATCAATTATAAGTATTGCAATGCAATAGAATCACAGAAAACCATATTTAACACACAAATATGCAAACGACGACTTATAAAAATGTGGCTTATTGACTAAATGAAGCTCTATACTAAAAAAACAAAAAATTAAATAAAATTACTACTATAATTAAAAAATTTTCATTACATTTATTGAAAATGCAACACACAAAATAGAAAAATACATCGCGTGTTTCACATGAATATTAAAACGAATAAATTACGTTTTATGGTTAGATAATCGAAAATTTTATGCACATTGTATACACACCGCGAAAAAAAAATCTAGTTTTTTTACTAAAGTTGAATAATATAATATTATTAATGATTACAAATTGGGAATTTTAAAAGATGTAAGGGATTTTCAAAAAATTTGAAGCTATATCTACATTATATTCAAAATCTGATGTGGTCAGCGCATAACTACCCAAAATTTTTATTGTCTAGTTAAGAACTAGAAATCAAATACTATAAATTTCAAGAAATTCGATGAATTAGTTTCGGCGGTATGGTAAAAAATGTAAAATCGGCTCCTAGTTTAGTTTTCAAGGCCTGATTTTTCTAAAAAATTCATAGATTCATTGTTGTAACACCTCGGATATACATATGAAATTTCCAAGATATTGGTTATACCCACAGTTTACCATATCAAGTCTATGTGATACCCATACGATTTATGAATTGTTTGAATTCGATTTATGAATTGGAATTAGTATGCAACCTTAACTAGCTGTGGTTTTCTTTAAAATAATGGTCTCATTTTCGTAAAAACTTATTTTATATTAAATATTATATTGATTCTATTTTCGAAATTTCTATAAATACAGCACAATTTATAGATTTTGCCATATCAGAATTATTGAATAAATCTGCGTCTTATGAAATTTTTGAGTAACGTTAGACTTTATAATTATTTATATGTGCATATAAAAAGCTCTTACTTTCATATAAAGCGAAATTAAAACTTTAAAACTAGGCTTTAAATAAATATAAAATTGTAAAGTTTTAATGTTAAACGAATGGAATTGATTTGAGAGAAGATTCTAATACATTAGCACGTAATTTTCTAGTTGTATTCTGCATGTAAAAGATATTTTATTATCTTTTACATTAGGCATCCCTGAACTCTCCACTATAAACAGCACATACTTATTAACTATTTCAAATCTACAAACAAAATCAAATTTTACTACAAATTAAATAGATACTTACTTGGTGGGTTCCAACCAGCAGGTATTACACGAGCAGAAGTTCCCCTTATATTGTGCCTTGTATTTTGATGATGCCTTGAATTTTGTTGATTGACATTCCTTTTTGAATTATCACCCTTTGTTTTATTTGGACATTCATTATTTAGATGACCAACAACTTTGCAATTAATGCAGAATTTAGGCTTTGAAACAAAATTAGGGCAACATTTTCTAGGATGGGTTGTTTTACATTTTTGACAATTTATAACTTCTACTTTTTCTCTAGTTTTATTAGTTTTTGTTGATGGCTCATTATTAATTTTTTCAAATATATTTGGTGCACTTGCCATCATATTTACTCTAGTACTTTTAACTTGCTCTAATGCTTTTTTAAATTGATCTTTTGTCATATTTTGATTTTCGGGCTTTGGTGCACCTTTTATTCTTTCACTTGTTTGATTTAAACACTGTTTTAGTTCATTTAAAGTCGCCTGAAATTCTTTGACATTATCTTTCTCCTTTTTTTTAGCTTCCAAAAGAAGTTTTTTAGCTTTTAATTTCTCTTCAAGTTTAATGTCTTCTGCTTCTTTTAAACGACATTCACTTATTACTTTATCCAGAGTAAGATTGGGTTTAGACAGTAATTCATTACGAAATTTCTTGTCTTGTATGCCCAATATAATAACATCTCTAATCATATTATTTTTTTCAGAAAAAGCACAGACTGAAGCTAAATTTTGTAAATTTGTTAGATAATCATCGAAAGTTTCTTTCTTTTTTTTTACAGTTTTAAAAAAAACTTGTCGTTGTCTTATAGTAGTATTTGACGTGTCATCAAGAAGTTGCATCAGATCTCCTAAATCCATGTTCTACTGTTTAGTTCAGATTTTGATTAATAACAATGGAAATTATCTAAAATTATTTTTGAATTCTTTATTTTTAATGCAATAATTAATAATTTTTATATTATAATATTGTTTACAGTACCTTTTCCGGCAACTGTCAAGCTACAAATTGTATTTATAACTGAAGTTTTTTGTTATTCCCTATCAATTAATCAGTAATCTTACAACAGATAATTTTGAATGGTTAAAGCGCAATTATTTTATTTTATCAAAAGCTCAAATTATTTAAATTCATTAAGGATAATTTACATTTAGGTAGAAATTAATTATATTTAATGTACATCTAAAACTAACACTTGGCTTACTAATAAAGACAGAAGAGTAATAACAATTCTGAAAGTAAATTATGAAAGTAAATAACTAGTACACCAAGTAAACGTTTAAAACATGTATGGAGGATATCTAAGGTTACCATTTTAAATTTGAAATGTTATTATGCAATATTTTTGCATTTATTTGTTAATAAAATTTCATATTTTATTCATAAAAACTGCATATGCTGGATATGCAAATGTTGCATATCCAATGATCGTATGTCTAATTGTGCAGTGATATGGAAATTGGTACCGGTCCTTTAATCGAAAAGTCTCGGGTTCAAACCCTGGTCTGTTAAATATAAAAATTATGTTATATTAGTATTATACTTAATACTACAAAATAAAATGTTAATATAAGAGTAATTATAAATATAGATATGTAATATTCGATATTGAATTCTGTACTAAACAATAAATATAAGTAAACTTCAATACTTAATATAAAGAAAAAACTGCGGCATCATAGTCCCCATGACTTCTTGTAAATCCTGTTAATAATGAACATTTGAATAATTTTCGAGTTTGGAAGTATGAGTATCACACGTGTACCGCATATAATATATAACTAGAAAAACTTTTTTAAAAAAATAAATTGTTTATGTACAATTTATTTTTTCAAATGGTAAATAAATTAACCTTTAAATACAAATGAGTTCTTTCAAGAGTGTAAATCAAGTGAAATTTTTGTTTAGTGTTCGCTACCACGTACTCTACAACATTAAAAAAATTAAAGAAATCGGGACTGCCTCTTCTATATAGAATATTTATCAAAAATCCAATATTCCAATAATTTTCTCATCTGTAAACGTAATTTTTTCACAAATTTAAACACAAAATTAACTTCACAATAAAACTAATTTTAAAATATAAAATTATTAATGTAAACAAACCTTTAAGTTGATATCGAAAATTATTTTTCCCTTTTTATTATCAAATAAAAAAAAATCGTGATGAAACAAAGAATAATTTTCGAAAGTTAAAATAATCTCAATAATAAAAATAATAAGAATTACATAGTTTTCCGGTGATTTATTGTCGAGTTTATCGTTTGCAACATAGGGTTAAATAAAATTTTTTAAAACTTTCAATATTATTAGTCGGACATACAATTTTTTTTTTTAAATTTTGAAGCCCGTGTTATTAAACATTCATATATAATATTTTGAACTTTTTTTAATACCGTAAATCTCTTTATTTTTGTCTTTCACATTGGGATGATAAATTATTATGGGTACTATCAAAAATGGTATATTATGTAAAATACAGTATACCCCATTTTTGCTACTATATTACACAAAGATACCTAAATCACCGAAACTGCCCATCACGCTCGAAAACAAAAGCTGTGCATTTATTTTATTTCAAAATTTTCTATTTGAGTCTTTTATACGAACTAAAGAAATAACAGAATATAATCGTGCATTCGGTTGACAAAGTGTTAAAAAATAAATTTAATAACAAAATATTGTGATAAAAATATACTGTGTACATGAATAAAAATAGTAAAATGTTGTGATAAGCTTTAACAAACAAGTTTGAAATAAAGAACAAAATGGAATAAACTATCACCAATACATTTTAAGTATGTATCACTTTTTTATCTTAAAATTTTGCACATAATGTCGAATATCGATTAAATTTTATAACAGCACATTGCACATACATACAATGTACTATATAAAAAATAATCAATATGTATACTGTTATAAATTACTAAAATAGTAATTTATCATATTTAATAAACATGCAATATTATTTAATTAATACTACTACAGGCTTAAATAAAATTTATTAAAAGCTTTTCGCGACATTCCATTGCAATTTCACTTTCCATTCAGTTTGTAAATTACTTAAATTTCAAAAAATATTTTGTATAAGAAACTTTTATATTAAAAATTTATATTTCACACAATTTCTCATTAAAGTGCATGACTTGTTAATGATTTCAATAAAAATTTAGCTTTTTTACATTATATAACAATTTATTGAAAAATAAACTCATTCGAAACAAATGTAATCGTAAATGCATAACTAGTATGATTGAAAGTTTTTCAACACGACAATATTTATGGTATACAGTTTCGAGCAAGTTGCACTTCGGCATAAAAATACAAATTTAATGTTTTTAATTTTGACGCTTTTTTTACAAATGACTAAACTAAATCTGTTTGTTTAGTTTGCAATTTCCTCTTGGACAAACTAAAATTCGAAAAACCCAGGAAATTATTAATATTTAATTATTTAATTCAAGGTAACGCGTGCAGTGAGCTACTCGTATTAATTTCAGATTTGTATTTGCCAATCACTTACTGAAATCATTCAATTTGATCATTCACTTTGATCATTAGTATTAAAAATTATTTTATAGAAATAAATTTTGTTCAGAAATAGCAAGCTTTCTTTCATTATACTCATAAAAAATTTAAATAGCTAATACACTTAGCAACAAATACTTTCAAGATTCATTTTAAATTAAGCCTTTTTTAATTTTGTTCCAAAAATGAAAACATAGTGCTAAAATTGTTGAAGAACTTATATTTGAAATATCTTTATCAGACACATAATAAATTCAATTCCAAAAAAATTTATGGATGGTGTTGCATTTGTCTTAAATATTCGACCAAAAGCATTAACAAATTTAAAAAATTTAAACAGCACTTTCGGATCTAATTGCTAGAAACACAAAACTTTACGAAATTTTATTAAAATTTTATAATTTATTATTTCTGTTTTTATCTGTATTGTAATTTTGCCCCCTACACTTTCGAAATTCTCTTTATTAATTGATAAAAAAGTTTGAAAATATTTGCGTATGAAATTAAAAAAGAAAAAACTTTTAAATGAGTTTTAGCAAATTTCTGAATATTCTTTTAAAAAGCAAATTTGGTTATTTTGTTTTATTTTGTTAGTCGATACAATGGCGGTTCTTGCAGATCGTTGCCTGCTGTTGCAATATATTCTGCCCTAAATGCAATTGTTGGAACAAAAGGCAAAGGAAGACTCTTTTTATTATCTTAGCGTATATCCTGCTCTATGTCAAGATTTCATTAGCAAAATTATGCAGTCTGACGAGATAACGGATACAACGAATTAACCAAATCCACAGTGATTTTTCAGCCAAAGACACTATTTTAATTTTTCGTCTCTTTAACCTTGTATGTATTTTGGTCAAAATACAAAATTCAAGTTATCTACTAGTCAATTAATATCATGAATGTGCTCTTCAAGGTATCTATAATATGAATGTGCTCTTTTGTAAACATTGGTTTACCCGGAACTTGTGTTTTTTTTATTTTTGCTTTTAAATTTTTTTTAAAGTAACACTAATTATGAATGTACAACAAAGCGATAGCATTAATTCAACACTATGCACAAAATAACGTCTACGGACATATAATAAACCACAGGAACTTGTTTATTTAATGAGAGGAGTTTTTGTTTACACGTTGCTGTTCATTAATAATTATTTTCACATAATATAAAGCACTGAAATATTATATGCAGTGCCAAATATATTTGTGCATAATGTGACGCTTCCATATACATATATTGTATAATGTAAGCATACATACATATTAATACACCTACCTATTATATTTAGTAAAAAATAAGCGGAGACTTTTAAACTTTTATAATTAGGTTTGTCATGTGGCATGTCAAACAGTTCAACAAAATTAAATAGAGTTTTTTTTTTTTGTTTTTGCGTACAAAAAAATTTTACAACACAATTTATTATTGTATGCATGTCATAATGATGATGTAGTCTATTATTATTCTATTATATAAATTTTGTATGTATAGATATGGATTCAAAGGTATATTTTATATAGACTTGTTGCCTAGGCAAAAAAAATGTGATTCATTACTTCATGTTCAATATTATACAGAAAAAAAAATTCTTTTAATTTTTTAATCAATTATTGGTTTCATATTATAATTAAATTTATTGAGCTAATTACATAAAATAATATTGAATACATACATATAAATAGAATAGAATTTTTTGTACTTTTCAATACAATTAAATAAATTTTTTTGCCATATTCAATTTTTATTTTATCCGCGGTATTTCAGAAATTTTACCATATCCAAAACTTTTATGAAATTTTATTTTGGTTTGGAATCGCTTTATTCTCAATTATTGAAATTATTCCGATACCTTACAATAATCAGGCATATGAGTTTGCCACGGAAATTTAGATGTAAGTACATATATTCCTCTTTATTTAAACAAATATATACAAAATGGACGATAAATGGAAAACAATAAAAATGGACAAAATTCTACATGAAATGACTTGCACAATCAATAGTTGCCCAATTTAATTTAGCCATTCCGCTAAACTAACATTACAAACTTTAGATCGTAGCCACAATATGTAGCTTCGTTAATATGATATAATGCAAATAATAATGTATATATCAATGTAGGGACATGTACTCGTATATATCAATTATTCTTGACTCATTGTTAGATAAACATACATAAATACATTTTATATGTTACATGATTATGTAAATATATTAAGTAACAGCTAGTATAAGATATGTAGTGTGTCATTTTATATAATCACTTATATAAATATATTATTTTTATTCTACATCGATTCACAGGTAAATTTTTACTTTTGACATCTTTGATTGAAATTTTTGGTTTTTTGAAAATATTCTCTCCAATTTTTATTGACATCTTTTCTTTTTAACTCCTTCCATTTTCATACCATTTTTTCACTTTTACTTGTACACAAATCATTTTATTTCTTTAAGGTATTATGAAATTGACCATTCATTTTGCAGTTTCATGATCTTTTATTAAATTTGAAAATTACATAATTTA